CATCACATCTGTGCCACCGAAAGCATCTTTTCCATACTCACCACATATGGGCACGAGTGTGTGTGTGTGTGTGTGTGTGTGTGTGTGTGTGTGTGTGTGCTTGCATGCACACAGAGGTCTAAATTTTTCTAGGGAATAGAAATCCCACACCCAGCTGTGGGATTTCTGGGTTGCAGGGTGTCTGCATCTTTGACTTTGCTAGACCTTGTCAGAGTACTTACCAGAGTTTGTATCTGTTCGTGTTCCCTCCCTTTTCCCCACGTGCGTACTAGCTCTTGGTGCTAACAGACATTTCCCAATCTGCAAGGTGCAAAATAGTATCCGTGTCATGTACAAAATAGTACGATTTCTTAGATACCAGTGAGGTTGGATATCTTTTCATATGTCTATGTGCCATTCAGGTGTACTCTTTTGTGAGTTGCCTATTCATATCTTTGGAGCATTTTTCTCTTGGGTTGTCTTTTTCTTGTTGATTTGTAAGAATTCTTCCTTTTTATTTACTTTTATTTTTTTTAAAGATGTTATATATTTATTTGACACAGAGAGAGACAGTGAGAGGGAACAGAAGCAGAGGGAGTGGGAGAGGGAGAAGCAGGCTTCCTGCCAAACAGGGAGCCTGATGCAGGGCTTTATCCCAGGACCCTGGGATCATGACCTGAGCTGAAGACAGACACTTAACCCACTGAGCCACCCAGGTGCCCCAAGAATTCTTCCTATATCTTACCTAGATATTAAATCTTCTGCTTTGAGAATGATATCTCAAATAATAACAACTCTTCCCCACCTCTACCACCCCTGGGCTATTTTGAAGCAAATTCCAGACATGTAGTTTTTCTGTCTGTATATACATTAGCATGTAGCCGTAAAAGGTTAAGGATTGTATACACATGCGCGCACACACACACACAACCATCTCTGTGATAGTATTATCCCCCCCAATAACAGTAATGCTCAGTGCCATCAAATATCCAGTCAGTTCGGTTCCCCCAGTTGTCTTACAAGTGGGTTTTACAGTTGGCCACTGCTGTGCACGGACTTGTGTCCCCGCTAAGTTCATAGGTGAGAGCTGTAACCCCCCCACCTGTTGGTATCTGGAGGCGGGGCCTTTGGTGATTCTGTTTAGAGGAGGTTGCGAGCGTGGGGCCCCAGGATGGGATTAGTGCTCTTGTAAGAAGAGGCCAGAAAGCGTGTTCTCTCTGTGGGTGCCTGTGAGGACACAGCAAGAAGGTGGCTGTCACGAGTGAAGAGGAGAGTCCTTCTCAGCATCGAGCTTGTGGGCATCCCGATCTGGAACGTCCAGCCTCTGGAGTGGGGAGAAATACCTTTCTGTCATGTCAACTGCCCTGCCTGTGCTATTTTGTTGTGGAAGCTCGAGCAGACTTATACACACTTCGTGAACTTTATTAACCCTTTTCTTTACGGTTTGTGTTTTTTGGGTCTAGTGTAAGGAATGCTGCTTTACGCCAAGGGTCAAGAAAACGGTGTTCTCTAACAGGTTCCTTCTGCTTTCCTCCTCAGGCTTCTTTCTGTCTGGCTGGGCTGCACAGCCGTAGGGGGGGCTCCACTGTGACCCGTCCGCTCCCCTGGATTGCTCAGGATCGTCGTGTCTTATCCCCCATATCCACCTCATGCCCTCGACCTCCAAAGCCCGGTCTTTTTTTTTTGTTTTTGTTTTTGTTTTTGTTTTTAAGATTTTATTTATTTATTTGACAGATAGAGATCACAAGTAGGCAGAGAGGCAGGCAGAGAGAGAGGAGGAAGCAGGCTCCCTGCCGAGCAGAGAGCCCCATGTGGGGCTCGATCCCCGGACCCTGGGACCATGACCTGAGCTGAAGGCAGAGGCTTTAACCCACTGAGCCACCCAAGCGCCCCCCAAAGCCCGGTCTTGCTCTGCTCCATCTCTCTGCCCTCTTCGGACCACCCTCCTGCTGCGGGACGGGGCTGGAAGGACACAGCCTCAGGGACCATGTACATTTCCTTGGTCCTTCATTTTCCCTCTGCTCTTGTCCCTTCCGACTTCCCCCGCTCTCCCCCTCACTGCTGACATGGCTCTCGGTTCTCTGAGCAGAAGCAGGTAGGGGACATCCACACAGCCTCCTACCTTCCCTCCCGGGACGTGGAGGACCCGCCCGAGCTTCTGGGGAAGCTGACCTTCTCCCTGGGCTGACCCTTTGCCCCTCATTTCATCAGTTAGTTTTGCTTGTGCTTTGTTTTCCGCTGTGAGCTACCATTCTGATCCACATGGAAATGTGCTAAAATTTCTTCCATTATAAAAAGAGGGGCTCCTGGGTGGCTCAGTTGGTTAAGCGTCTGCCTTCAGCTCAGGTCATGATCCCGGGGTAGAGCCCCACATCAGGCTCCCTGCTCAGCCAGGAGTCTGCTTCTCTCTCTCTCTATCCCCCTCTGCCTCTCTGCTCATTTTCTCTCTCACTCCCTCTCTCTTTGAAATAAATACATAAAATCTTAAAAATAAAATATACATAATAATTAAAATATAAAAATAAATATAAAATAGGTAATAAAAATATAATAAAAATAATAAAAATAAAAATAAAATAAATAAATAAAAAGACTGTTGCCCTATCTTCCCTCCATCTTCTGCTCACTCCTTTTGCTCCTGTTTCTGGCAAAAGTCATGAAGAGCTTCTGTGTTCACCGGGTCTGATTCTCTCCTGCCATTCTCTGCAGCCTGCTGCTGTCTTGCCCACCCCAGTCCTCCAGCCCTGTTTTCGTGGAGGTCACCCTGACGTCCACCTTGCTTAGCCCTGTGTCTCTCTCAGGGTTTCTTGCAGAAGGTCTCGGTCTATACTCTGCCTCCTAGAAACTGTGTCTTCACGTGGCTTCAGGCCCATGACTTGGGGTTCCTCCCCCCTCACTCGCTGTTTCTTCTCAGACTCGCTCGCTGGTTCCTTCTTACTCCCCAAAGCCTTTAATGGTGAAGGTCCTAGGGCTGGAACTTCTAGATCCTTCTCTTCTTTATCTACTGTCGTTCCCTTCCTGATGTCATTCACTCTCAAGGTTTTAAATACGATGTGCAGCTGATTCTCATTATTTACACTACAGTTGGACAACACCAGGGCTGGGAGTGCTGACCGCCGTGCAGTCAGGGATCTGCCTAGAACTTTTGACTCCTCAAAATGTAATCCTAGTAGCCTACTGTTGACCAGAAGCCTTGCCGGTACCACAGACAGATGATTGTCACATAGTTTGCATGTTAATATGTGTTAAATACTGTATTCCTGCCATGAAGTAAGCTAGAGAAAAGAAAATGTTGAGAAAGTTATAAAAAAGAGAAAATACATTTACGGTCCTAGAGTGTATTTATGGAAAAAAAGCGACGTGTACGTGGACCCGTGCAGTTAAAACCTGCGTTAAGGGCCAAACATAGTCATGGTCAATAAAGTCAGGTGGATAGCAGACTAGCAAGTCCCGAACCACCGCTCTGAGCCTCTGGTCCCATTTCTGTGCATTGGTCAATGGGTCACCCCGTTTTATGTGTGTTTCTCAGTAGAGACGCCTTACTGAATAATAGAGTTGATTCATTGACATTGAACCTGCCATCAGCGGGTCTGTCTACCGTCCGTATTATCTTTGGGGGCACATGGGAGCCCTTAGGATCACGAGACGGCTCTTCAGCACTACGCCTGGAGTCTTCATAAACAATGAAGTCACCATCGAAAGTGCAAAATGCGGAAGCTGTGGGACCCAACAGAAAGCGAGCGGATCCTTGTGTGCGGTGGGGGCTGAATGAGGAGGGAGAGCGTTGCCTTGTTCGACCTTGGCAGGGACCGCGCGTGTCAGTGACTCAGATTTGCCACTGCTCTACGGAAGTCCGTGGATGATGGCGAAAGCATGACAAATACTGATTTTGGAGTTGCAATAAATTTTGCAATGAGGCAAATTCATGTGTATGGAATCCGCCAAAAAAAAAAAAAAAAAAAAAAAAGAGGCTGGGCTGGGGATTGCTGACTCTTTCAAGCTTGTCATTTCCTCTTGGACCCCTGCCCTGATCTTCTTGTTAGGAGCTGCCGCTCAGCTTGTCCGACAGACATTTCCAACTTACCACCCCACTTTTAAGACCCGATCTCCTCAAACCTGCTCTTCCTGAGTCTCCCCCTTCTTGTTGAAAGACACGCTACCCTTTTCCAGTTGCTCGGGCAAAAAACCCTCATCGTCACCAACTCCTCTTTGTCTGACCCTCCTCCCCCGCCATGCCGTCTACCAGCAAAACCAGTCGGCTCTCCCAGCACATGGTGTCCAGACCCCCGCCACCCTCAGGCTGTCCCCTTTGCCGACCCTCTTCAGGGGTAGCGTCTTTTGTCTTGGATTGTGGAAGTCTTGCTCTAAGGAGGTTTGCATTTGCCTCACCGGGTGCCCAGGGACCTCGCTGCCCCGGGTCACTTGTTTGGTTCATTTCACTGCCTACGAATTCCTACTTTGAAGGGAGAGGGGAAATTTCAGGGGATTGGTTTCTTTTTTCCCTCCCTGGGCTTTCTAACCTTCGTCCTAGTCCTTGTTGGTAGAGTTTTATTTATTTATTTTCTCCCCCCGCCCCCAAATATAAACCTTGGGGGCTCTGACACTGCATGGAGTCTCAGTCACAAATCCCCATCTCAGGGGGTATTAGTGCTTGTTCCTGGGTCTAGCCTGCTCCCCAGGATCACCGGGCTCACTCAGTATCTGCTCGTTGCCACCATGACCCTGGCTTCAAGTCTCCTGTCCAATCCTGGCTGGGAATTGTTCCCTTTTTGGGCTCCACCATTTTAATTTTTATCTGTTGGTTACATTCCCTCTGGTATTTCTAGTGTTTGTAATGGGAATGGATTCCTGTTAGCCCCACTCAGAATCACAAGTTACCAGCGATTTCCTCCATGAAATACACGATGCAAATAGTTAAAATGAATTCTTTTCTACACTCTTGATTTTAGTTTACTTACTGTTTATCATCTTTGGATTTGCACCATTCAGAACATAATTCATGTTTCTCTCTCTCTCTGTAGCCCACCTTCAATCTCTGCAATGGCTAATGAGGCTCACCCTTGTCCGTGTGACATTGGGCACAGGCTAGAGTATGGAGGAATGGGACAGGAAGTTCAAGTCGAGCACATCAAGGCTTATGTGACCAAGCCCCCCTTCCACACGGGCAAGGCTGTGATCGTCATTCAAGATATATTTGGCTGGCAGTTGCCCAACACCAGATACATGGCTGACCTGATCGCAGGAAATGGATACACGTACGTAGGAAGTTCTGTTCTTTTCCTTAAATTCCTGGAGATTTCTGTGATCTGTTACGGTCCCTTCAGGGAAAACAAAACCAAAGCCAAAAAGCCTCACCTGCATTCTAAGTTAGGTTACTACTTCCTCATCTCATGGTGCCGGCAACCCACCCCCACCGCAAATGGGGAATGTCACGTGAGCTGAACACCACCTGGCGTCCAGAGGCTGCCATTGCACCCAGACCCCCTGGCGGCCCCCCCGCCCCCACCCCCGAGGGGCTTCGGCTCCTCCTTGCCCTGCTTGGGCCTGTAGACCCCTTGGACTTGGAGGGAGTTACTGCTGGATGCGGGGCCTGCCTGGGCAGGTGCAGGGCGCCTGGGGCCAGCCTCCCTTGCCGGCTCTGTAATGGATCTGCTCCTTGGCCTTGGACACGTCTCAGCCGGGTCAGATTTTACAAGCAGACGACCCATGATTAAGCCTGGGCGAAACACATGCTAAACACAAGCGATCAGGGTCCTGTCCGAGTTCCCAGGGGTTCCAGAACGGTGCTGTGAGACCTCACTCCTCTCCTGAAGGTTAGGCCTTTGCCGGATTGAGTACTGAGAACACACCTGTCCGCTTCCCATCACGCCAGGTCCTGGCACAGTGTCCGTAAACATGGAGGAGAGGGGCCGGTCCTTCCCTCTAGCCTCAGACAGCCTACGACCCACCAGCTCCGAGTGGGGCGCACCGCGATTTCCTTTGTTTTCTCAAAAAGCTGCAAATCCAGTGTGCACTGACCTTGTTTTCCTACCAGAGAAATCGATTTGAAGGTCACACGCCCACTGTTGTGTGACTCAGCGTTAGTGCAGATGGCAACGAGGGTTTGTGCTTGAGTTTTCACTTTTTCATGCCCCCAGATGTCTGGAACAGGAGGCCACGTGACTTACTAGGGGCAAACCCAGTGAGAAGCACCGTAGCCAACCCTGGTTGTCCCGAGGCTGAGCTGGACAGACCCCGTGCAGAGGGCATTGCAGGAATGTGTCCTTTATCCTCCCAGTGACCCCGCAGGCTGGGCCCTGGCGTGGTGGCTTCCATTGTCCTACGGTGGGTCCTTATCTGGAGACGGAACACAAACGATGAGCAAAGGCACCCATGACTTACAGAGCTCTCCCACTTATCCAACTCCCTTTGCCGTCAGAATAACCTGCCGAGGTTGGCCAGGGCTGTCTGTTCATCAGACTGAGAAAATGAGGCTAAAAGTGACTTGTTAAGGTCACGGCGCGGGTGGGTGCCGTACTGGGGCTTGAACTTGGGTTCTTCTGACCCAGATTCCAGGGTTCCTTCCACCCTGGCAGGAAGAGCCGGGTTCCTCCATCTGTGGCCACGGCCTTTATTCTAGGAAGCGAGTCTCGGGCTGGTGCTGTGTGGACCCAGCCTTGGGACGGGGGGCGGGGGATTGACACGCATGGAGGAGGGACACGGACTGGCTTGTTTTCTCTCTGCCGCCTGTTTTAGAACCTGCAGGAGACCTTTCCCTCTGAGCGGGAGGTTGTGCCCCTGTCAGCATCCTGGGCTGAGGCTGGGGGAAAATTGCTTGGTCATCGTGACTGGATGTGCGACCCAGGTGTACCCTCTGACCTGGGACTAACGCAGAAGGCCAGCTGAGCCAAGTGGCTCCTCCCGGGGTGGGGGAGGGGGCTCTGGGGCTCCTTCCTGGGTCATCCGTCCCATGGGGACTGTGCCCGTGGGCTCGCCTTGTCATTTCAGATGGGCTGGGCTCCAAGGAGGCTGGCAGAGGCCTCGCACCTACGGTTGTGAAATCCCCAGTGGTCTGGCCTGGCGCCAGCTGGCCTCTCTGATGCGATCACACTTGGCCTTCGTGGTCCCCACTGTGAATCAGAATCACCAACGTAACAGGCTTCTTCATGAATGTCAGCAAAGCCCAGCAGCTCCGAAATGAAGAGCAATGAATGTCCCTGTTTGACAGGACCATCGTCCCGGACTTCTTCGTAGGTCAGGAGCCATGGCACCCGTCTGGGGACTGGTCCACCTTCCCGGAGTGGTTGAAAACAAGAGATGCCAGGAAGATTGATAAGTAAGTTATCGTCCATGTTTGTGCCACCCCTCTACCCCCCCCCGCTCCCATCCCAGGACCCCCGGGAGAGTGGAGGCTGCAGGGAGAAGTGGGTACGGCTTCACTATTCAGACACCCCCCTCCCTCCCTCGTGTGGGACTTCCAGGGCCATGGCTAATGCCTAAGGAAACTGGCTTTCATGGAGCCTGTGTGTGGCCTGGAAGGTGGGACGCCAGCAGGCTCTCTGCTTCCCTTTCTGAGCAACTTTGTGGCACTCATGCCAAGGGAACGTTGGGGAAGGACCACTTTGTGGTGGCCCGATTTCCCTTGACAAGGGTGCTTTCGAGGTGCATAGGGTCAACACTCCTTCCTTCCTGTCCAGGCTCCAGAACCAGTTGAGGCAGTGGGCGGAGAAAAGAAGCTGGGTCAGGGGCTTGCCCCATTAGGGCTCAGCTGACAGGAAACCCAAAGGGCTGTCCCCTCCCCCAGCCTAGACCTGACCCCCCACCTCCCCCTCTGAGAGACTTCAGGTCTTGACACCAGGCCCATTAGACCAGGACTGCCATCTTGTCAGGGTCCAGGGAGCAGTGAGAAGTAAAAGAGGGGGATCCCCCCAGGATTTCAGCTTTTTATTGAATTAGCTCCCGTGGCCCAGAAGCAAGGAAATAGCGTGCTTAGCTGCCGTCCAGACAGCTCTTTCTGTCTGGGCTAAGGGTGCAGGGGGAAAGGGTGCCAGGAAGGTTCTCTGATGCCAAGCTTCTCCTGAACAAGTCAGTGTGAGCCCAGGGCAAAGGAGGTTCCCCCAACACCAGCCCGAATCACCTTGGCCATCTGTCCTTCTGAACCCTCTCCTTCCCGGTCACTGGATGTGAGCCTTGGGTTTGATAAGCTGCTCCCCCAGCTGAGGTTGAGGAAACTGCTAAGAATGTGGGGCCCTGCCCATGGGCATGCGGTCCCTGGAACTTTCTGTTCCTTCTTCCACCAGAATGCCCTTCAAGAGCTGCACCCAGGGCTGGTGGACCTCAGGCGGACCTCTGCCCCTAGCCCAAAGGGGCCTGGGGCCCTGCTGAGTGCCCCCACCTGGCTTCTCAGCCCCATTTTCATGCCCCACACTCACTGGGAACCCCTTCTCGCAGGGCCTGTGCTGCGGGCTGCGCTGGGAGCTCCCGGCATGGCCAAACTTGTGTGCGGGAGACCAGCCCAGCAGTGGTCTGGGGGACTGTCTCTGGGACATCAGCTGCCTTGTCTTCCTCTGCCCCATCCTGAGCAGTCTTCCTGCAGGGCTGTGTAGGCCTGGCTCCTTCACCTCAAGTCAGGGGGACCCTCGGCGGCCACCCCGGCTCCAAGCCTCCCTGAGGAGCTGGTTGGGGCTTGTGTGGAGACTGTCATAGCCGGCTGCTCCCCCTGCCTGGCTCTGTGTCCTTCCCTCCCTGTCCTCAGTGTTGGCCCCGAGATTCTTGGGGATAAGCCTCCTGCACACTTAACCTCTTCCTAGTCCCTCCCAGGAGACCTGCACCCCTAACCTGCAACCCCAAGAAAACCAAAATGAAGCCAGATGTGGAGAGAAAAATTAGAAGTAGAAACACAAGAGAACCACAGAAACCGGGATGCAACTGTGGAATTCATCTTTCCATGGGGGGCTGGGGTCGGGGGAGAATAGTTAGGACCTTTTGCGACTTTCTGAGGAAAAATTGTTGGGGGGGGGGTCTGCCTACCATTTGTGAGCACAAAGCAGAGTGATCGCTGCTGGCAGATGCTGGAGCAGCCCAGCGGTACTGTTCCACAGGGGAAAAGGAGAGCCATGCATTTTAAACAAAAATGAGACAGAGAAACACTGGGGCATCTGGGAGGCTCAGTGGGTTAAACGTGTGACTCTTGATTTCAGCTCAGGTCATGATCTCAGGATCGTGAGATCAGGCCCCATGTTGGGCTCCGTGCTTGCTTGAGATTCTCTCTCTCCCTCTTCCTCTGTCCCACCCCTCTCCCTGCCCACGACAAAGCAAAGCAAAACAAAACAAAACAAAACAAAAAAGGTGGGGGGGCGGAGAGAGAGAAACACTCACTTTGAAAGGAGACTGAAATCCTTGTATCTGGTCAAGTGTGTTCCTAAGTAACACAAAACCCATCTTGAATGCTAAAAGAGGTAGTTTCTGGCTTGAAGCAGGGGTTGGTTTCTAGTACAGAAACTATCTCTGGGACTTGCCTTCCAACATTTCTCTACTAGGTTGCCTGTACACTGGCTCCATTCTCAGGCAGCTCTTGCCGCTGGGTGACAAGATGGCTGCAGCAGCTCCAGCCTTCCATTGGTCCCTTTTCCAGCAACTCAGCAAAATTCACATTTTGCCCTCATGGCTATGGCTCAGTCATAGGTCTGTCCTGGAATCAGTCATTGTGGCCAGGAAATGGCTATGCTTTCTGCTGGTCAGCCTGTACCACACACTTCACAACTGGAACCTAGTGCAGAATCCCCCAAGGTATATGAACCAAGCACTGGTGGGTGGGAGGAGAGCTTCATCCAAAGCTGAACCCTGGTGCTTCCAGAAAAGTAGGGAACACATGCAGAGCAGCACCAGCAAAGACATGTTCACACGAGCTCAAGTGTTTTTATAGAAGTGACCTCTTCCTCCTCGTCTCTCCAATTAAGGCCGTTACTTTTGAGATCAAAGCATCCAAGGAAAAATTAAAACCCCAAATGTCAACTGTTGCTCTTTCCATGTTTTGCGGAATTACTTAATTACCGCTCACATGAGGACTGTAAGTGCCCTGTACTTAGCAGTAGAATCCATTTATTTAAAGGTGCTCCAGGATATGCTATGATCAAAAGGGAGAGGAAGTGCAAGAGAATGGCTTGCTTTCTCTTTTTTAAGCTGTAGCATTTCTTCCTTATTCGATCAAACCAGAACTTTCTGCCTGGTCTTGCTTCCCTACCTCCGTTTGGGTGTATTGCTTCTAGCTGAAAATACACCGAGTTCCCAACAAGCAATTTGCAAATAAACCATTTGCAAAGACAGGGCCACTTCTGGTGTTCTTCTGGCTTACATCGTGCTGACAACTTTCCAAGTCCCGCTCTGCTCTTCGGGCACGGAAGGAGACCAGCGGTCCCGAGTCAGGGTGTTAGCTGCGGGAGTGAAGTTTGGGGAGCTGCCCGGCTGGGGCTCATGTCTGTCAGAGGCTAGCAGGCTGGGCTGCTCCGTGTGGGGGTGGATCTTGGGATCAGGTCTTAGGACGCTGTGCTTTGACTTCTGGCCTTTACTGGGAGGCTGTGGAAGGCCAGGGCTCAGCTTTCATCTGGGTTGTGGGCTGGTGTGATTTGTGGTTTGCAAAGAGCCCGCCCGCCGCTCTGTCAGGTGGTTGGAGGAGGCTGTGCTTGGTGGAGACACGTGTGGGGAGACCGGTGGGGTGATGTGCATCACTGCGGCAGCCGCGGGGGAGGACAGAGCTCCAAAAGCAAGAATCGCAGACTGCGGAGGCAGAGCTGCTGCGGAAGCCCCGTGACTGTCCATGTCCGAGCACCTGCTGTCCCGCGCTCGCCCCCTGCGGCGGGGGGAGAGGGGGCGAGAGACGGGGTGCTCACAAAATGCCTCTCGATTGTCTTTTTGCCCGCCCCCTGCCCCCGCCTTATTGAGATATAATTGACCCATAATGTGTAAGTGTAAGGTGTACAGTGTTGATCCAACACGTTTATATATTGCAAAATGACTGCCACCCTAGCCTTTGGCAGCACCGCTGTCCTGTCCCAGGGTTACCTTCTTTTCGGTGGCGGGAACACGCGCTGCCGGCGCTCTCCGCGACCTGCGCGCACGATGTGCAGCGGCATCGACTGCGTCACTAACTCTGCCCCCGCGGCACGCTACAGCCCGGGGCTCGCCAGTCTCCGGAGCGGAGTCCGCGCCCCTCGTCCGGTGTGTCCGCGCCCCTCGTCCGGTGTTTCCCCGCCCCCGCATCCCCCGCACCGGCGACCGCTCCGCGTCTGCGTCTCCGAGGCTGGCTCTTCAGAGTCCACCTACAAGGGGCCTCTAGCCGCCTTTTTTCGCTTTTTGTAGGATTTTCTTCGAGAGGGCGAGCCCGGGGGGGGGGGGAGCAGAGGGAGGAGCGGGCTCCCCGCCGAGGGGGGAGCCGATGCGGGGCTCGATCCCGGCCTCCAGGATCGCGACCTGAGCCGGAGGCGGTGGCTCCACCGACGGAGCCACCCCTGCGCCCCTGATTCCCGAACTTTCTGTTCCAGGGAGGTGGACGCCGTGCTGACGTACCTGCAGCGGCAGTGCGGCGCGCAGCGCATCGGCGTCGTGGGATTCTGCTGGGGGGGCGTGGCCGTCCACCACGTGATGATGACGTACCCCGGGCTCCGGGCGGGGGTGTCCGTCTACGGTAAATCCGCCTCGCGCGTCGGATTCGGTGGAAGCGGGAGGCCTGGGGGAGGAACAGCGCGTCCGCAGGGGCTCGGCTCTGCAGCCCTGAGAGGGGAGGGCCGGGTGGGTGGTGCCGGAGGCGGAGCTTGGGACCCGGAGCCCCGGTCCCCGCGCTGTGCGGTCGGGACCGTCCCCGAGCCCAAGGGCGGCGAAGGGGGTAACGTGTATCTCCGGGATCGTGGTGACTCTCCGGCCGCGTTCCTTCTGAGGGACACCGTGAACCGCCGTCCCGACACGGGAGGGTCCGGCTACGGGGTGCGGGCTAAGGAAGGAGGGGAGGGGAGGGGAGGGAAGAGCCTTGTAGCGGCGCGTAAACGCTCCAGCTGGACAGACCGCCGCTGTCATGGCAACGAAGCAAGAGCGCGTGTGCGCGGGGACGTGCGTACTAGGTCCATACTGGAGGAGCGGACCATAAACATGTAAAAAAAAAAAAAGAAAAGAAAGAAAGAAAAGAAAAAAGAAGGGAATTCGGTTTTCTTTCATGATCGTATGTCCTACAGTTACAGACCGAGGATTCCTATCTGGATCAGTGGTTGTTCGCTGTGGTGATTTTGCTTACTTTTAGCATTAAAAAAAAAATCCTTTAAATATACTAACTTACACCAAAGAGAGTACGTTGTCAGTTGGCTTTGGGCACAACGGGGATGACCGTCCCTTTGTGTGAAACGAAGGCTCTCCTGCGTGGACGCCTCGCCGGCTCCCCCTTCTGGCCGCTGTTGCGCATTGCTTGGCAGGACTCAGGAGACGCCTGGGGGCATCGAACCTTTGCTGTCCAGCGATGCATGGTGGCCTTAACAGAGGGGGTCAGGGAGCATGGCTAGCCCTCCTGTGGCTCCCTGCCTCCTAGAGAGGGGCTGCAGGGAAGGGGAGGCCCTCTGGGCTGCTTGCCTTTGCTGTGCTGCCCAGACATGGAAGCAGGAGATGCCCGTTGTTTTCTTCTTCCTACTGACTTGGACCCTGTCCCGACCACACCTGAGCCAGGCTCCTCTGTGAGTCCTCTTTCTGGGGGGGTCCCCGACTGGGCTCGTCCTTGGCCCATTGGGGCAGCCTAGTGAGAATCCCCCAACTTTGGATGTCTGACCACATTCCTCACCCCCCACCCTCTGGATCGCGTGAGCCTGAATTCTGTCACGTCCTCTGGCCAGAATCCGTCTCACTCTGATGTTTGCTCTTAGTCATTTTCCACCCGCTGCCCCCGCGCCCTCCTCCTCGGCGCTAAATCCCCACTTGTCCTGGTATTCGGGTTGAGCGATTTCTTTCTCCTATAGCCAGACCTCATTCTGGTGGTCCTTCTTGAATAAAACTTCCTTCACAATGTCAGAATAATTTCCTTGAACACTATTTACCTTAAGATGGCTTCGGATCACAGACAGATCATGGGCAGACGCCCAGCTGTGGTCTGAATGCCTGGGGCAGAACAGGCTTTAGGCCAAATGCGCGCTAAAATTCTGAAACAAAGGATGAAAGGTAACTTTTACAGATGTCCTGTGAGGACCGGGTACCACACCTGTGATGTCATACCCGTGATGTCACAACCGTGGTCTGGTCGGAGCACCAATATCCTGGGAAACAGCTGCCTCACCTTATGTATGAAGCCACTTGGCAAACTGAGGTCGGATGCTGTGGGGCTTCGGTGGATTGTGAGAGACTTCTAGAACAGGAGGGGCCAGATGGTCCAGATTTGAGAGTTTGTCCCCCGTTTGTAAAGGAAGGCATCGTCACACAAGGGAGTGTTTTTCAGGCTGCTCCTGTCTCTGGGCAGGCCAAGCAGACAGCAAGGTCTAATTCCACTATTTCTGGCCTGACTTCTCATGAAGTAGAGAGCAGGAAGGTCTAGCTAGGTAAGTTTCTCTTTGAGACTGATTTTGTAGGCCAGGTCACTTCTGTAGAATTACTGAAAAGGAAATAAACTGAACCCCCAAAGCACATATTTTACTTTGAAAAATCAAACCAAACCCACAGAGGTTTCTGAGGCCCATGTTTGGAAATCCTACCCCACGTGTCTGTCCCCATCTTCCAGGCATCGTCAAGGACTCTGAAGACGTGCACAGTTTAAAGAACCCCACGTTGTTCATTTTTGCTGAAAATGATGCTGTGATTCCCCTTGAGCAAGTAAGTTGGCATCATTTCCTCTTTTCATTTTTTTTGAAGGTTTATTTATTTAGAGAGAGTGCGTGCTCGTGAGTGGGTGGAGGGGCAGAGGGAGAGGGAGAGAGAATCCTTGAGCAGGTTCCCTGCTGAGCACAGGCGGGACCCGGGGCTTGATCTCATGACCCTGAGATCATGACCTGAACCGAAATCAGGAGTCTGATGCTTAACTGACTGAGCCACCCAGGTGCCCCTCTTCTCATTTCTATATTTAATAACATGACTTGACTTTTCAGGGAAAATGTCCCAAAGGTTCATTTGTTGCTCCAAATATTTTTCAGTGTTAAAGTTATAAAGGTGATGGGGCGCCTGGGTGGCTCAGTGGGTTAAGCCTCTGCCTTCGGCTCAGGTCATGATCCCAGGGTCCTGGGATCGAGCCCCACATTGGGATCCCTGCTCAGCGGGGAGCCTGCTTCTCCCTCTCCCTCTAATGCTCCCCCCATTTGTGTTCTCTCTTTCTCTCAAATAAATCTTCAAAAAACGCCACGAGTTAAGATAAGGAAGGTGTGTGTCCTTAAAGAGGTGGGTGTGGGGCACTTGGCGGGCTCATTCCATGGAGCTTACAACTCTTGACCTTGGGGTCATAAGTTTGAGCCCCACATTGTGGGGGGTTTACTTAAAAAAAAAGTTGGATATGTTCAACCCAGTATGTTGATAAGAAAAAAGCAGAAGAAAACTGGTTCAAAAGCAGTCATTTAGAAATTATTGTTATTCATAACTAATACATTATATTCATACAAATTTAAAATAATTTCTACTTGAATATATTGAATATTTTGTTGCATATTGAATGGTGTCCCAAAGATACTAATACAGTTTCAAAGAACTGATATTGTATCATTTTTATATTGCTTGGAATCCTCTCCTTTGCCAGAGGTTATAAGGACTGTGTTAGGTATAAAAGTAAAAAATTCATAATAGCTACAAAACTTAAGGCACTGATGTTAAGTTTCTTTTCTGAGCATTCCGAGAGGATTTGGGGACTGGAAACCATGACTAGACTTAAAATCATAATATCAGGGGCGCCTGGGTGGCTCAGTGGGTTAAGCCGCTGCCTTCGGCTCAGGTCATGATCTCGGGGTCCTGGGATTGAGCCCTGCATCGGGCTCTCTGCTCAGCAGGGAGCCTGCTTCCCCCACCCCCTCTGCCTGCCTCTCTGTCTACTTGTGATCTCTCTCTGTCAAATAAATAAAATCTTAAAAAAAAAATCATACTATCATGAAATCCTTTTGTCTGTCAGGTCTCTTTGCTGACCCAGAAGTTGAAAAAACACTGCAAAGTGGAATATCAAATTAAAACATTTTCTGGGCAAACCCATGGCTTCGTGCATCGAAAGAGAGAAGATTGTTCAGTGGAAGACAAGCCCTATATTGACGAAGCAAGAAGAAATTTACTTGAGTGGCTGCATAAGTATGTTTAGCTGCGGCCAAGCGCAACTTCCTCAAAACAGCTTGCCAGCACCCAGAAACGTGCTTTGGGGTATTTGGATCGTTTGATTTAATTTTCACTTTATATGAACCAGGGAATCCTGAAACTCATTATTTCCTCTGTTAATGCATGATATAATTTAACTTTTAACATGTTAAAAAAGCCCCTAAAACAAAGAATTTGAATGATAGGGTAATATCCTAACTGTAAGAACCTAGGGCTGCTGGGGCGCCTGGGGGGCTCAGTCTTCAGCTCGGGTCATGATCCCGGGGTCCTGGGATCGAGCCCTACATGGGGCTCCCTGCTCAGTGGGAAGCCTGCTTCTCCATCTCCGACTCCCCCCTGCTCGTGTTCCCTCTCTCGCTGTGTCTGTCTCTGTCAAATAAATAAAATCTTTAGGGCTATTTATGGACCCGCTGACAGCTCAGATGTGGACTTCTTGTGTTTTAATTAAGTACATCCTTTATGATGATGAGCACGGCATAGCCATGAAGAACGTGAACTATAAACTCAGATTCAAAGCCCAGCTTCATGGGGCATTTGTCTGTCCTAATACGGATCGGTCTGTCACGTTCATACATTGCACTGTGAGAAATCCTGAAGTTGAAATAGGGTTTCATTGACCTAATTACATCAAGCCAAAAAACTTACTTTTTGAATGTGTGGCTTTTTCTAAAAGCTAATAAAGAATGATGGATTACAGCGACTGTCTCCTAGGAAGTGGTTTTCTAAAACAGGGCATTTTCCAGGCCACGGGTCTGGAGCTGCATCACTTGGAAGGGGTACAGGGTCAAGTTTCAGTGTTTCGATTTGAATTACTTTAGGTTAAATCCCACGTACCAGCTCAGCTCCTTGGGAGGCCGGGCCCCCATGCCAGGCGCTCAGCGGCCACATGTGGCTGGGAGGAGCCGTTTGGGCCAGAGCCAGTCTGCGCCAGGAAAGGCTCTTCCTTCTTGCTGCGGCCTGCTCACTTTCCATGAACCCTAGGCTGAACACCCCCACTGGCCCCTCTGAGACTGCAGATCCAGAAAGGCCACCTCATTCCCCTCCCACCCCGGCTTGGGCCCTCCAGGATGTCCCCTCCATCAGGTGGGACCCTGGGGAGGGCCTTTCCACTTGGCTCCTGGGCTCAGGGTGGGACCTTGTTCACCCCCGTGCACCGTGGCCAACGTGGAGCCATTTCCCGTTGATCTTGGGCCTCCGGGAGGGAAGCCCACACGCTTCCTTTCTGGAAGACAGGAACGAGAAGGGTCCCTGCGATGTCAAGGATCCACACCCACCCCTTCGTTTCTTCCACAGCTGGGCTTGCAGAGTCCCATGTGACCGATGGTTTTAGTGACAAGATGGGTCCCTCCGGAGAGGGAGAGGAAAAGGAAGCAGCGATGTGGGCCTCACCCAGACAGGGAAATGGAGAGGAGGGATTCCAGAGCATCTGGAAGAATCCTCGTGAACTGTCTGAGGCCCGCAGGTTAGGGAGAGAAGCAGGGCTGTGGGGGAAAGTTTGGTTTGGGTCCAGGCTGGAAGATACGGTTTTCCTGGGCTGCAAATACCCCGACTCACAGTGGCTTGACTAACAGTGGCTGAGAGAGTAACACCGAAGTCTCTCCCACGACACTCCTAATTGGGTCCCGGAGCGGTTTCGGGCCCTGGGGAAGTCAGGACACGGGTGGGTGCCCGCCAACCTGGGCACTCTCCTCACGGGCACAGCGGCAGGCGTTGCCCTCACAGAACACCGGCCAAGGGTGAGGGGGGCCAGGGGCTCTGCTTTTGTTGGGGGGGGGTTACTCTTTCCCAAGTCCGTCTGGGACTCCCAGCCTTCAGAGCTGTGAGAGCAACGTTCAAGCCACTGCCTGCAGCACCTCTTTCTAGAAGCCTGAACGACGATCTGCCACAGGTCCAGGCTCACTGCATCCCTCTGGGGAAGTGGAAGCAGGTCGGCGTCAAGTACGGGGACGTCACGTGAGCTGCGAGCAGGCGCACCACCCGCTGTGGCAGGGGACGCTGGGTGGCCGCGCTCCAGGCTGGGAGCATCCGCGTAGCTTGGGCAAGGTCCCCCCTTTGGAGAGCGGTCTTCCCGGGAGGGACTCGTCCGCGGACACACTGGCCTCTCGGACCTCCTGGAAGCAGCGGTACTTTGGTTGCTTGTCACGAGACCAGGCCACCTCACAAACACCGAATAAACCTGCTAGCGTCAGAGGTGGCCGTCGTGCCGGCTGTGGTCTGGTGTGGGCATCTGGCCCGGGGGGTCCCCTGCCCCGGGTCACTCTTGCTTCGCATAGACAGTGGGCGCTGGAGCACTGGGCGGGGGGGGAACCCTGAACCGGGGAGCCAGCTCTCCAGTGGTCAGGATTAGGTAAGCCGGCCCAGCAGGAAGGCCCCACGTTCACAGAGTCTGCTCGAGCAGCAGGTGACTTCACAGCTGAAGGCAGCCCCGGCCAGTGCCCCCCGCACCTCTGGGGCCTGGGTCCCAATCTCGGCTATTCCAGACTCAGGATCCTCTCCATCTCACAGAGACTGGCTTCTCTGGCCCGGGATTCTCATTACAGCACGTAAATAAATGTCCTGTGTTATACATTAAAAAAAAAAAAAAAAAAAGGGACACATAATTTGACAAAGATTGTAACTGGCAAGTAAGAAGGGTGGCATGTTCTCTTGAAGAGCCCCTCACACGGAGCGCAGTCAGGCTGGCGAGACGTCTCTGTAGGTTCTTCTGTTCAGAGGCCGAGTCCTTTCTCGGTCCCCAAACGCACCAGGGAGTGCGGCGACGCTGCTAGGGAGTGGTTCGTTCAGTGGCTCTTCTCAACCGCGGACCCCTTCAGGTGAAACTGGTCCAAAGCAAGGTCCTGTGACGTCTGCAGGCGGGTATCAGTCCCTGTGAGGTGGGTCTGACTGGACTCCACACCCGGAGCCTAGTAGTACGGATTGTAGAAGTGCTGCTGCGCCGATGTTTGAAAATGAGACACATAACCAGGTTCTGTGTGCAGTAGATTTTGTTTTTAAATTTCTTCTCTTCATCTGATTGTGTGTGTGTGCAAGCACAAGTAGGGGGTGAGGGACAGAGGCAGAGGGAGAAGCAGACTCCAAGCTGAGTGTGGAGCCTGGCTCGGGGCTCGATCCTAGGACCCTGGGATCATGACCCGAGCCCAAGACAGATGCTTACCTGACTGAGCCACCCAGGTGCCCATGTTCAGCTTTCAGAACCAGACTGTCCCCCACAACCTGCTATTAGGATACCAGCACTCACTCCCAAGCCTGTAGGCTACTTGCTTTGCCAAACCACCAGCGCAGTCACAGAGAAGAAACAACCCAACAGCTTCCAGGCTGAGAGAGGCAACTCTGAACCTTCACTGAAGTCAGCGTAGATGAGTGACTTCATGATTCTGGTTATCTGACTGGTCCCATCAGGATTCCTCTCCCCCTGGTGGCTCGTAAGTAAATTTGATGATGATTCTCAGAAAAACGGAATCTAGAGAACCATACGTGAGGCAAAATGGCATAGGGGAGGAGGGGCCCCCGGGGTCAGGCCACCCGGGTTCGACCCAGCTCTACTGCTCCCCAGCCAGGAGATGAGAGCAGCACGAGGCTAGCCCCGACTCTCAGAAAAAGGACTGGCCTGTACTATGGCCTAGGTCACATCAGCCACTGTCACTTTAGGTAGAGACACTGGTCTACCCGGGAATGGGAACCATGATGCCCTTCCTTCCACTCAACCCACTCTAACCTCCCCGAGTTCTGTCCCACTGGAGACCCTGGTGGGGCTCTGAATGGCTCTTCTGAGTTCCTGCAGGTGGCACCGGACCAGGGTCACGTGATTCCCTGGGGACCACGGGAAGTCTCATCCTACGCTTGCTGTGTGGCTCTGGGCTAAGAGCACTCAGGCCACCCTGCCATCTCGTGGTTTCCCACGCTCCTCTCCCACGGGTCTCTACATCTGTTGAGACGCTAAAACATTTCACAGGATCGAGCCCACAGTCCACGACACCTGTAGCACAGGCTCAATGTTTATGCTGTTCAACGTACCTACAGATTGAAAAAAAGACCCACTCGAACCCCCTCATCCAGGCAGCATCTGAATGACACAGTCGGGAGTTTCCTGCGGAGGAAGGAGACAGCACTGGGCCGGAGAGCCCGCTTTAATGGGACGAACACAGAAGCCCGTGAAACAGCACATGTGCTCGCATGAGTCTCTGAACAAGGAAAACCGCAGGTACTGAACAGCTTTCTATTTATTACAGTAGCATCCGCAGTGTCTGGGAAGGACACAGTAATAACTGCAGATGCGCCACGAGACACCCCTTTATTCCGCCACGGCGGGGGGCCTCACTGCATTGTAGTTTCCATTTTCTCCTCATTCTTCAGACTCTCCAGGCTTCCGGATGTCATCGATCTTCAAAATCATTCTCACCATTTGCGTCGCAAGAGAGATCTGCTGCTTTTTGCCAATCAAAGTTTCTATGACATGCTGCTGCTTCATATCTGCAAATACACACACATTATCCCAAATCTGTTTTACATTAATAACTTGTTCTCATTTACAGACTCACAATAAAACTTAAAAAAAGTACAAATCTGGAAGAAGTCCCCAGTCCTAGTTACATTGTCAGAGGAACAAGATCTCGTTAGTCCCAAGGACCCTGTGGAACTTGAACCTGGGTGCCAGAAAGCCGCGGGTGGGGGGGAACCTCTCTCCAATGACAAGCCCAAGTGCTGGGCGCCCACATAAAACTTTGCAGACACGTCTCACCCCACAAAGTAGTCACTGCTAACATAAATTAAGAAGCCCGAAGTAAGTGAAAAATCAGACTATACCTGAAATGTAAAATAATTACAAGAAAGGCCTAAAAATTAAAAACGTCAACAGAACCAGGCATGCAAATTAAAAACAAATTTAATTATCTGTCTGACAAAGAGTCGCTACGGTTATTAAAACCTGCTGGCTGTGAACATGAAAACCACAGCACAGCTGTCGTTCCAAGTAAAAGCACAAATCCTCAGATTCCAGGCTTGGGAAAACGTGGAACTCTGGACACGGCCCCGCTAGCCCCAGAACTATGAGCACCACCATTCTCACAAGCTTCCACTAGCTCATGCTTGAAGCCCCAGCAGCGACCACACGTCACAGGAAAACACCCTGGAATGTGTGGACACATCCCCAGGATACTCGGAGAACACCAAGTCCACTGCAGAGCTGCTTCCCAGGACACCCAGAACCTACCTGACACACACCTGTGTAAAAGAGAAAGCTGGGAATGGTTTTTGTGAAACC